TAGAATGATCAAAATGTTGGTCATTTTACTCGTCTGGGGGAGAGGATCAGACTGTAAGCCTTCCTGTGCTTGGCTGCATTCACAGTCTTCTGTTTCTTTCCTTACTCGTTTTTATTTTTTTATTTTTTTTGAGTTGGCGTCTCACTCTGTCACCCAGACTGGAGTGCAGTGGCCGCTCCCAGCCACCGCAGCCTCGACCTGCTGGGCTCCGGCGATCCTTCGGCCTCAGCCTTCCAAGTAGCTGGAATTACAGGCATGCGCTACCACGTCCGGCTGATTTTTTGATTTATTGTAGAGATGAGGTCTCTCTGTCCAGGCGGGTCTCGAACCTGCGGGCTCAGGCAATCTGCTCACCTCAGCCTCCCAAAGGCGTGGGATTACAGGCTAAGCCACCGAGCCCGGCCTTTACTCGTTTTTAAATTGTGGTATCAGGGTATTCAGATAGTCCTCATTTGTAGGTTTCTTTTTTTTATTTTTGAGTTGGAGCCTCACTCTGTCGCCCAGACTGAAGTGCAGTGGCCGCTCCTGGCCACCGCAGCCTTGACCTGCTGGGCTCCGGTGATCCTTCCGCCTCAGCCTTCCAAGTAGCCGGGAATTACAGGCATGCACTACCACGCCCAGCTGATTTTTTGATTTATTGTAGAGATGAGGTTTCACTGCCCAGGCAGATCTCGAACCCGCGGGCTCAGGCAATCCACTCACCTCAGCCTCCCAAAGGCGCGGGATTACAGGCTGAGCCACCGAGTCCGGCTAAGGTTTCATATTTCTGACACACTATAACATTTAATGTGTCCTACCTTTTACAATGTTCTTTGCTTTGCTTAGAAAGTCTTTTTGTTCTCTCCTTCTTGATGAATTCTTCCCATTATTTATTCAGGTCAAATGTTACCTCCCTAGTCAGAAACTTACAGTCTAGGTTAACGCTTTCTTCCTGTAGCTTTTGAAGCATTTTGTATGTTTGGCTGTTTCATCACATGTCACATGGTCCACGGTCCTATCTCTGTATTTCTGAATTCCACCCCTCTCCCTCCAACCCCAGTAATACAGTGATTTCTTCAAGGATGGGGATTCTGTTGTCATTTCTTTTTCCACTGTGAAGGGGGGACAATTGTTGAAAACCTCAGTTGTATAGCATCTCATACAGTCTTCATAGTCACACTTTGATCTGCTGTGTTGCCATCCTACTTTACAGATGAGGAAACCAGACCTCAGAGGGATTGAGTAGCCTATCCAAGGTCACGATGCTGTAAACAGATTTGAACCCTTGCTTTCAGGCTCTAAGGCTCATATATCCTTCCTTTTACTTCATGCTGACAAAACAAACGCAAACCCAACTTTTGAGAGTTGGGCTTAAAACAGAGATTTCTATATTTTTAATCTAATGCTTTGTTGCAGTATTGCAGAAACATTGTAATATAAAATAATTAAGTGAGATCTGTTCTCAGGTTGGATTCCCTGGAAAATCGACTTACAGATTTCATGTGGGAGATTGATTGGAAAATGCCCTCAGGAGCGGCATCTGTGAGAAAGCGAAGCCGGTGGGACTGGGCAGAGGGAGAAGCTGTACTGCAGTGCATTTGCAACAGTTTCAGCCAATCCCATGGGGACTTCTGGAGCTGGATGGCCCTTCAGCATCATGCCAACCTGAGACAAGAGGACAGGCACTGCATGCTGCCATCCTCCAGGGAGCAGGCATAGCCGTAGGCAGGAAAGGCCCAGGAAAGAGCTCCGAGGTGAGCTGTCAATAGCCAGCATCCCTGAAGCTGGAGGATCCCACACCTTAGTCCTGAAGGGATCCGTACCTGCACCATGGCATCCACTCCGGGTGGAATCTGTGGATGTGGTTTTATAAACTGCTGAGAGCTTTATCATTTCAATGAAATTTTCTAAAAGGAATTTAAGAGGTTCAAAGAATAATATGCAAGTTCAGTAGGCCAAGACTACAAAGCTCCAGAATAATTTTCTTCTTATCCTTTTATTTTTGTGAAGATTTAGTGCTAACATTCTAAAAGTGTTATGATAAAAATTCTTCTAATTGTTACCATTTGTACAAGATGTATAATAATTAGAGAAATAAGTAAGACTTCCGTTTTTTAAATGCAGTTTCATCCAAATATGAAACCTCTTCTTAGAAAAAAGCAAAATGAGGAAGCTACTCTGTAAGTTTATTTTTTGTGTGTATTTTTTTGTATTATTCTAGATTTTTTTCAATAAACATGATTTACTTTTATAATTGGAGAAAAAACAGGATATATTAAAAAGGGACTTTGGGAGAACGTTTTGAACATAATTCGAGGAAAATTCCAAAGTTAGAATGTGCTTGGGAAACCTAAAATTTCTCTAAAAGCAGTATTTAATATTCAGCCTAAAATTAAGATCCATTAAATAAATGTACCTGCAAATTGGAATAAATGAAAGGATAAAACATCATTTGCAGCCCGAAAAGCAAATCGTTATCTTAGTATGACAGTTCTTTCCACTCCTGTTACTTACAAGAGATGTGTAATCCTCAGGTAACAGAAACAATAAATAGTAGTATTCAGTGCTCAGTACCTTGCGGAACTCTAGCTTTCTTAACCTCTGTTCTCTCCTGGCTTATCCAGTGGCCCCTACCCATCTTTACCACTGGAATTTGTAACTTTTTTGGAGGCTTTTTTTTTTTTTTTGAGTCGGAGTCTCTCTTATCACTCAGGCTGCCAGTGCAGTCACACTCACGTCCACCACAGCCTCAACCTGCTGGACTCAGGCGATCCTTCCCTCTCTGCCTTCCAAGTAGGTGGAACTACAGGCACATGCTACCATGCTCAGCTGATTTTTTTATTTATTGTAGAGACAAGGACTCGCCAAGTTGCCCAGGCTGGTCTCCTAAAGTGCTGGGACTATAGGCATGAGCCACCGTGCCTGGCTAACTTTTTATTTTGCACAAACTTCAGACCTTCAGGAAAGTTGAAAAAACAATTCGGAGTTTCCAAATATTTCCCACCAGTTTCCTTAATGTTGACACCTTGCATGACCATAATACAGTTAGAATCAGGAAGTTAACATTGGCCTAATTATTACCTACGCTGTAGACTTATTTGAGTTTAAAGTCTTTTACACTGCTTTCCTTTTTGGTTCCAGGAGCCTGCATTGCATTTAGTCATTATTTTTCTGTAGTCTCTGTCTTTCTTTAACAATTCATCAGTCTTCTCTTGTTTTTCATGAACATGATACTTTTGAATGGGCTGATCAATTATTTTGTAGCATTTCCCTCGGTTTGAGTTTGTCGAATGTTTTCTCATATCAGGAATGAAGTTGTGCATTTTTGGTAAGACGAGCACTGAAATGATGTGTTCTTCTCCATGCGTTATCTCAAGGGGTTAATGATCTAATATTTCTTGTTAATGGTAATGGTAATCTTAATCACTTGGATGAGGTGATGTCTGCTGGGTTTCTTCCCTGTAAAATAACTACCTTTTTTTTGTAGTTAATAAATATCTTGAGGGAGATTCTCTGAGACTGCTGTCACAAATCCTATTTCATCTCAAACTTTCACCCATTAATTTTAGCATCCATCACTTGATTTTGTTTGCAGTAGTTATTACTGTGGTATTTTCTTCATGTGATTTTTTTTTTCTCCCCTTCTCTCTACATTAATTGGAATTTGTTGGCATTCTGTAAGGAAAAGCTGTTTCTTTTCCTCCAGTGTATTTATTTATCCTCCGATGTATTTATCTGATTATAACAGTGTGGATTTAAGAATGTTTACTCTACAGATTAAAATTCAGTATTTTCATTATTTTGTCCAAATCATGTCAACTTTGGCCATTAGGAGCTTTTTCAGGTTGACTCCTATGTCTCTTAACAGCCTCCTTCATTCTTTGAGCACTTCCTTTCTCTGGCATTATAGTGTGTTCCAGGTTCATCTGGTGTGTTCCCTGCCTGAGTCCTGGAGTCAACCATTTATCAGTTTTCTTGGCTCTTGTTTTAGTTGAAAATGGTGTTTAGAACCAAGATCTGGTTGTTAGATGTGCTCATTACTATTGGGGCATCACTGTACCCAGAACCGCCCCCCGCCAACAGTGCTGGGAAATGTCTGTATTCCATTGTGAATTTCCTCATAACTGGTTGGGTTTGGGGATATGTTAAGGGTACATGAACTATCCCTGTAGCTCTAAGAGTCAGAGGCACACAAAAAAAAAAAACACTGAGGGGTGTCACTGCCTCCTCATCCCTGAAACACCAGTCCTTGTCCTTCCTTTTTCCCCACTCATTCCCTGGCCCTTTAGTTTCTGCTTTATCCTTCCTGTATTTCTTTTGCTCAGATGAACAGATAATATGTATATTTTCCTATATTCCCTTTTCCCTTACAAGGAGGAAAACATACTCTAGCCTTTGTTTTGTGGGTTTTTTTTTTTTTTTTTTCACTTAACCCTATCTCCAAGAAACCAGTTCATAGAAATCTTCCTCGTTCTTTGTCACAGCTGCATAGTACACCACTGTATGGATGTGTCATAGTTTATCCAACTACTCTCCTGGGAACTAATACAGATGGCTTCCAATATTTTTCAATTACAAACAGTGCTTTAATGAGTAACCTTTTCACAGGTATTTTCATGAACCTTGCTCATGAGTACTTTATTATTATTGGAGGTCTGTCTTCAGAGTGGAGTACTAGAAGTGGGATTGCTGGGTGAAAAGGTAAATGCATATGTAACTTTGCTAAGTATTGTCGAATTTTTCTCTAGAAGGTTGCACAAATCTGTACAACTGGCAATGTATATGTATACCTGCTTCCGCGTGGCCTCAGTAATAGAAAGTGTCGTCATATTGGCATTTGAATTTTAGCACCATAAGTGAGTGATGAGTCCGTTTTGGAAAACCTGAGCTTTCTCTCAATTCAGCTATTTTGATTTGTTTTTACCATTAGCATATCCCAAAATAAATAGGAATGTTAGAGTTTCCTTGCATTTTAAAATTCACCCAACACATACATAATGAAAACTTTTTTTAAATTCTAGGTCTTGCTCCATTGGTCTATTTATCGGATGAATGTCAAAATTTATTGGCAGTAAAGTTTTGGACAGATCTTAATGAAGATATTATTAAGCCTCATATGTTAATTGCTGCAAGCAACCTCCAATGGCGACCAGAATCCAAATCAAGAATTCCTACTTTATTTGCTGGAGATTTTTCTGTGCTTTCTGCCAGTCCAAAAGAAAGCCACTTTCAAGACACATTCAACAAAATGAAAAATACTATTGAGGTAAAATTACTTTTTAGCATTACCTCACATTTTGACATTTTCCTATTTTGACAGGCAAGTATCAAGGAAGTGGCTTTTATAAAAGTTGGATAGTTGAGGTAGTATGTAAGATAAACTTCATCATATATTATTATTTAGTGCCCATGAACCTCAGGAGATGGAGGAGTGAAAGAATGATAGCAACCAGGAAGGATGAATGATTTGAAGGTAATTGAGTCAGGAGAAATTATAAGAAAGATGTTCAGAGTTACCATGTAGGCAAACTGGAAATGGGTAACAAGAATGAGCTACCTGTGGTTCACTGCAGTTGGCAGTGTGATTAGTTAATATGGAGACTATAGGTATATCTTTAAGCTCCGTATTTAATGTCTTAAACAGTTTGTTCCTCTTTGATTTGAATTATTCCCAAATAAGAGACACTAAAATTACTTTCTTTAGCTCAGGTATGCATTTTCTGTTTAAATCTATGTCTACATCATATACATTAGCTGATGTTGAGTGCCTACTGTGTGTCAGGCCTTGTTCTACGCCTGTCTCATTTCATTCTCCAACAACCCTGTGAGGTCAGGGGTGTTTTTCCAGTAAGACACAGAGTGACTAAATGGCTTGCTCTAGGTCACACACCAAATTGGTGGAACCAGAATGCATGCTTTGGCCATCGCAATGCGAAGTTCAGACTCTTAACTGCTTTGCAGCACTGCTTCCCGGTAAAATTTTGGATTTCATGAACTAATAACTAGTGATGAATCTACAAAAAACAAGCCTCTTCATTCTGTAGTTAGTATTTGAAATGTGTGTTATTCAGAATGTGTGTAAATAAAATTGTACTTTAAAAACATTTAGAATAGCTACCAGTATAAAACAAGTTTGTGTTAGTATTTTTACCTAAAGATTCAATATGCATAATGAATAAACCATCTGGTTTATCTAGTTTTCAGGTTGGAAATGGAGGTTCCATTCATTATTTGGCTCCAATACATCCCAGTTTCTCTCTCTAAGGGCAGTTCACTAATCCTGCTGAAGAGACTTGTCATTTACATGGCATTTTAGCTTGTTGTTTATTTTTGAATTGGGGTCTGGCTCTGTTGCCCAGGCCATAGGGCAGTGGCCCAATCATGGCTTGCTGCAAACTTGACCTCTTGGGCTCAAGCAATCCTTCCACCTCAGCCTCCTGAGCAGGTGGGACTACAGACGCACACTACCAGCTAATTTTTGGGGGTTTTTTTGTTTGTTTGTTTGTTTTGGTCTTGCTCTGTTGCCTAGGCTGGTCTCGATCTCCTGGCCTCAAGCAGTCCTCATGCCTCAATGTCCTAAAGTGCTGGGATTACAAGTGAGACACTGTACCTGACCTGCATAGCATTTTAAAGTTTTACAAAATACTGTCATGAATTAGGTTAAAATATGTGAAATTGCTGGCATTTATCCATTTGTGACTTCTCAAACAACAGTTTCATGGAATTTAGCCTTTATATTATTTCAGTTAATTCTTGGAACAGACTTGAGGTAGGTGAGACAGTTCTCTTCTTTTACTAACCTAAGGAGTACTCTATAAATGTTAATTGGTTTCCAGCTATTAGGTTGTCAGAAGAGCTGGAACTCAAGTCCCAGTCTTCTACCCCAGTCCAGTCATATGATGCCTTGCTGATTCAACTAGTGGCTGGAGAGATTTATTTTCCATCATACACGCACTTTCCCTTCCTCTCACCCCCAACAGCTGAGTTCCCCTAAACACAGATGACAGTGTTGCATTTTTGCATTAGCATGTTTGACAGCTGCTATCAAATTTGGGGTGTCTCATTCTGTTTGGGTTTGAATATTTCTGGTTCTAAAGGAAATACTTTCTGAAAACGTAAATGTATGGGTTTGCAATTTATAAAACAGCTTTTCCAATTCTTTTCTTAGAATATTGACATATTTTGCAGTGAAGCAGAAAACAAGCTTATGCACATGCTTAATGTAAATGATCCCAGGTGGTCCACCCCAATTAAGGGCTGTACTTCAGAGTTACACACTGCTCAAACAGTCCTTGTTACAGGAAATAAACTTCTGGTAAGTTAATGTAAACATAAAGGATATTGTAAATATTGTATGTGGAGGCAACAGTGTATTCTGATGTATATCTGGTAATATACAGGTAGGATGGAATTAAACTTAATTAGAAAGTGTGGTGGTTATGTGGCTCCTATAGGTACAGATGATTTAGAAAATATAACTTGTTTATTGAAGCAAGAATGTAAAACTGGGGGTGAATTTTACAAACAGGTGTTTTAGTTTACATGTGATGAAAAAGGCTTTTTTGCCTATTTATTTTACTGTTTACAATTAGGGCTGTTTCTAAGCTCAATTTGATTTAACTCTTGAAATCATAGTAGATTCATGTCAAGCTAAAGTCTTTAATATTGGCTAATGGCTGATTCTTAAATAGCTAACACTTGTTAAGAGTGTCTTTGTTAACTGATTTAACCCTAATACCAACCCTGTGAGATAAAAGCTACTATTCAATGTCATCAGTAGGTTCTTGGAAACTGATTTTAAGGGAAATGATGTATAGCAAAACCTTTTTTTTATTTATCAATATTGTAACAAAACAATGTTGAAGATAGTGACACTATTTGAGGACTTGCTGTACGTTGTTTTGTGTAAAGATGCAGTTTCCAAGAACCTATCAGTGATGTTCAGTGAGGACTCACTGTATTATCCCCATTTTATAGATGAGCAGACTATGGCCTAGAGAGAGGTTAAACAGTTGCCTAATAAGGTCACAAAGCTAAAAGAGTAGGTAGTAGAACCCAGCTAGGCTGGGTGTGGTGGCTCACGCCTATAATCCCAGCACTTTGGGAGGCCAAGGTGAGAGGATTGCCTGAGCCCAGGGATTTGAGACCAGCCTGGACTACTTGGGCGAGACCTTGTCTCTACAATAAATCAAAAAATTAGCTGCGTGTGGTGGCACGTGCCTATAGTTCCAGCTACTTGGAAGGCTGAGGCAGAAGGATCACCTGAGCCCAGCAGGTCGAGGCTTCAATAGCCCTGGGTATGCCACTGCATTGCAGCGTGGGCAACAGTGAGACTCCGACAGAAAAAAAAAAAAAAAGAACCCAGATAGTATGGCTTTTAAAATGTTTATCTTTGTTTAACCTATGAATAACTAAAAAACAGATTACAGCCTAAGTAATGTTCCCTACTTCCTTTTTCATCCTTTACTATGATTACTCTTCGTCTTTCTTTTTTTTCACTTCACATACTTTTTAAATTTTATTTGTTTTAAGATGTGGGGTACAATCAGGATCAGTTATACAAGTAGACATTGCACAGGTAAAGCTTAGGCCTCCCTTTGGTCCCCACTTTGCCTAGTTTGAGATCAGGTCCCCTTACTGATGTTGTGTCCCCCACCAACCCACACTTCCTTTCTTTTCATGTTATTTTTATTTCCTTTTAAGCAAAATTATTTTCTTCTGGAATAGGAATAATAATATGAATGTCTCTTAAAATATCTAACCTATTAACAACAATTATGGGAGTAAGAATGTGTGTGGTGTTCATGTGCTTAAATATTTTTAATAAGTAATTTGATTTTGTTTTATATTAATGCATAATTATAATAGGCTACTTTTAAATTTTTTATCAGATGTCATCTCCTAATAATGAGATAAATCATCAAAATCTTTTATCACTTTCTACGCCCAAAGGGAAGTTTGTTTCCATACCTGTATCAGTCCAAATGACTTCAAAATCTTGTTGTAAAGGGGAGAAAGAGGTTGATGACCAAAAAAACTGCAAAAAAAGAAGAGCCTTGGATTTCTTGAGTAGACTGCCTTTACCTCCACCTGTTAGTCCCATTTGTACATTTGTTTCTCCAGCTGCACAGAAGGCATTTCAGCCACCACGGAGTTGTGACTCCAAATATGAAATACCTTTAAAGAAAAAGCAATTGAGTTCTCCTCAGATGACTCCACTTAAAAAATTCAATAAACTGTCTCTTTTGGAAAGTAATTCAATCGCTGATGAAGAACTTGCATTAATAAATACCCAGGCCCTTTTGTCTGGTTCAACAGGAGGAAATCAGCTTGTATCTATCAGTGAAGCCTCCAGGACTGCTCCCACCAATGCAAAAGATGACCTTGGACTGAAAAGGCATTGTGTTGCATCTCTGATCAAAGAACAGAATGACTCCCAAGCCGGTACAGAAGAACGTGAGTCCAATGGGCAGGACACAAGGACAACGAAAAACACATCTAAGAGATTACAAAGGCGACAACGAAAGTGACAGTAAATTAGTGATTGACTCAGTCTTTTCTGTCTGTAAGACATACGTTCATACTGCACATCAGCATTTATGTTGCATAAGGAGAAAAGAAATTGCATAGTTTCCAATTTTCCCTAAGTGTTTGTATATTGGATGCTCTTTGCCTGCTTTCTTATGGGTATACTTTTTATTTCAGTTGTATATCTTAAAACTGGCTGAATAATTATTAACTGATCAAGAAAATGTCTTCAAATCTTTGACTGGATTTGATCACTACCAGTATTATTTTATATATGAAATAAACATACGCTTCTTTTAGATTGTCATTGATCAAATTAAATGATTTCTTAGAACAGTTATTTTGATGCAGATAATTCCTTTTGGCTCAGTTGCTGCTTTAGGGGATTTCGTTTTACAGGTACATCACTATGAAATAGTTTTCCTTAATGCATATATTGGTTCTGATGGAGTTCTATCCTGTTCTAAAGTTAGGATGGATAAAATATTACAGTAGTGTTTTCTTTTGACCAATTCTTTCTCAAGGCAGCATGAGTACAAGAAAAACAGAACCCTCAATGTCACTGAGTCCTCTGTGTGATCTCTGAAAATAAATTACTTCAATTAAAAATTCACATACTTTAAATCAGATTTCATAGAGTTAATTTTTTTTAACAAAATGGTCATCCAGACTGAAACTTCAAATAATATCTTTCCAGTTGGCACTGATTCTGCCTGCTTTATTTTTAACACTCTCAGGACCCAGAATGTACTCCCTTTTAAACCTACCACCAAGGCAGAAGATCAATTTCTTATGATACTCTGATTTGTTACTTTCTTAGGTTTAATAGAAAAAAGGGATAAACCAGTTCTAACTAGGAGCTAATAGCATGGAAGAGTTCTTAAGTCAGATATTTTAATATGTCGTAAATGTATATATAATATCCATGCCTGTAATCTCAGAACTTTGGGAGGCCTAGGTGAGAGGACTGCCTAAGCCCAGGGGTTCAAGACCAGCCTGGACAACTTGGCAAGACCTCGTCTACAATAAATCAAGAAACATTAGCTAGGCATGGTGGCTTACGCCTGTAGTTCCAGCTATTTGGAAGGCTGAGGCAGAAGGATAGCCTGAGCCCAGCAGATAGAGGCTGGGTGGCCGTGAGCGTGCCACTGCACTCCAGCCTGGACGACAGAGTGAGACTCTGTCTCAAAAAAAATCAAAGAAATTTTAAAATACCATGTTTGCAAATCTAATCATAAACGCACTTCAAAGCCAAGTATGAATCCTTTTAAGAATTAATTTGTTTTCTTCCATCATTTTTCTCTCCTCTAAATAGCACTACCATAATAAATTGCATTTTGCTATTCTTTCTAAGTTAAGTTCTGCAAGTCTTATTAGTGTGATTCAAGTTTTGTTCACAAAATTTGGTCTTCACATCCTAATCATTTTACCAGTGATCCACTCTAGAACAAGGAATAAAACTTGAGTCTCAGGTGAGCTGAAAGAATTGTATTGAAAAATATAAGAATTTAACTTTTTCTCCTTGGAAAAACTATTATCTCTATTCTCATTCAGACCACCCGTTGTAGAGATAATGCACATACTTTTTAAAAAATTAAGTTCTAAATAACATTCAAGCTACGTGAACAAAATATATAGCTTGAGAAATTGTGTATATTATCCCCAAAAAGTGACAATTGAATTATTACAAAGTCAATATATGCTGCGTGATAAGGGATAAATGGTAAAAGCAGTTTGTGTTAATTATTCAACAGTCATTTAACGAGAGCCTATTATGTATGTAGAACACCTGCCAGCTCTGTGAATGATGCAAACAACACAAAACAGTACAAGTTCATGTCGAGTGTTCAAAAAATTATGTAAATCAAGAGCCACAAGCGTTGAGAGGAAAAATAGATCACTTCTACATGAGATAAAGTTCCTGGCATTTATTCAGTTGTCATGCTTCCAAGACCAAGTATTGTAGGAATCATCTAGGAAAAGAAGAGACATTGTATAGGCCAAGAAACTTCTTCAGAGCTCTATAAAGTTCTGGATCTATAACCCAAAGCCACTTCATGGTGGTCACTCACAGCCCATGCGAACCAAAAGCCCTCAGGGGAGAGCCGGCCACATCAGGAGGGCTTGACTCTGGCCTTTTGGCTGTTCCCGTGGGCTTGAAGGAAAGTAATTCCCACTTTGGGCTCTGACACATCTCCTACCAGAACCTAGGTGAGTCAAGCCATCCATATTGAGTTGGTTATGCAGTAATCGTATTAACTAAAATACTGGATTACCTTGGCCTGGAAAATAGGAGCATTGTTAAATGGATTATTAGGGGATCATTGTGTGTTGTGCTTGGATACACAGACTTTAACAAAACTATGATAATCGATTAGTTTAGATCACGATTATTTTGGAAAGCAGCTAATGCTCACCACTATACCACCAATGCACCTGTCGATTAGTTCAGATTACGATTGTTTGTTGGCCAAACTTTGTTACTCAAAGGAGATACCAATTTAAAGAATACCAACAGAAAAATTTACAGATGTGTTGCTGGCAGTCATCAAGTTGTTGACAATAGTCATCAATAGTTGACAACAATGTCAGATAAATGTTAAACAGTCTGATGTACACAGGCCAAGTAATTTGCATAAGCAAGGAAACTATAAGGTTGCTTTTGTCTTTACCTGTATGCCTCATATTTATTAAAGACTGGTAAAAATGCACTTATATGGAAAAACTGGTTATATGGCTGAATTCCTAGGGATTTCAGTAATTTTTTTTATTGTTGGACAAAAAAAATCAATGACAAATTCATATAAATGCAACAACATATACAATTTTTAATAACCATAAAAGCACCATTATATAGGACACTTAATACTTCACAGAACATTAGAAGCTGTTAGCCAATGAGAAATCGAGCATACATTCCACATCGTCTTTTATCATGGGCTCACACCAAATTAATCCTATTCCAATCTGCTGGAATTTAATTTGGATTCACGAATTCTGTATCCGCACTTTAAAAGGAACATTCCAGAGCTGGAGAACTTTGTCTTAAATAATGCCACATAAGACACTGCTCATTTTGTAGTGAGCATGGCTTTTATATACCCCTGTATGACCTGTATCCTGGGGTGCTTAATTCCTCGCACTCCCAAACATTTGAGCTGCCAACTAATTATACACATTTATGACATAATTTTAGAAGTCACTTAATTATTCCTCTTAAAAACTGGTGTTTTATGAAGGCAGGCTTGTTTTATTTTCACTGTTAGCCTAACAGCCAAACGTTATTCAGGTTTAATCCTGTTGAAGAAAGTGGTAGTTAAAACACAAGGTGTGACTTTAAATAATGACACTGATTTTCCTCACAGCTTGTATAGCTGTTAAGGATTTGGCAGATTTTTTTTTTAAACAATGATACATCGTTAAAATAAAGGAATAACTTCCCAAAGCATCTACTTGGAAGGATGATGTTCCCTTAGGATGTATACCCCATATTCATTTTAAGGGAAAGTCAGTATCATCATTAGAGTCTCACATCTCACATTTTTGGATACGTAGTTTATCAAAGCAGCAACGGTACTAAAACTTTTCCTGACCCCAATTCTCCTCCCCCTCCTTCCCAACTTCCCTGATGATGAATTTTCTGAAAAAATAAATAGATTACTTCAGAGAAAATAATACTGGAGCTTATATATAATATAAACACTTTATCTCATTTATGAACTTATGCCACTTACTGATTATGTTCTGAGCTATGTTCTCAGGTTTTGGTTTCAAGTTGACTCTTTCCCTCGAGAAAGAGACTGTTGAATCAAATCTGCAGAATTCCCAGCATCAGACCATGCACATAGGAACACTTTAACAAATGCTTGTCAAAGAGAGTGAGTACGATGACTTGTCAGAAACTTTTGGGTTCAACTATTTACACCGGAATTAGAGCTCTGACCAAAATGCAACAAAGAATAAATACCAGAAAACTGAAGCAAAACCTGACAGGAAAATATCAAGTGGCTGGGAGATGGGCCTCTAATATCCGTGATGACATCTGCCCCTTCTGTTATAGGAACTCTCGCTGGTGAAGCCACCGTGAGCCCTCTGGTTTGGAAACTCGGTGTAAGTATTCCAGTATCCTGCATTGTTGGGAGGCGAAGCGTTATTCCTGTCCTGGTTTCTGTTCATTCTGCTTGGTTTTTCTGCATGAAGCACACTGTGAAAGGTAACATCATGTTCATACCGTTCTTTCATTCGGTGTATTTTTTCTCTTGGGACTCCGTGAATGTTTCTTCTACATGAAAAAAAATGCAAACATTTAGTTTAGGCAGGATATCAAAATGAGTTACTTATATTTCATAAGTCCTGTATTGTTACATGGAAACTGCACTCCCTGTTCTCAGGACTTAGCTCCGGCAAAAGTACAACGTCTCGCTCTGCACTTCTCTTTCAGACTCCACTTCTGCTCAAGCTGCCCTGCATACCCCCAAACCACCCAGAGACTAGCAGGAGGCTGAAGCTTCAGAAATGCTTGTTTGTGGTCATCTCAACCATAAGCGTCAAGACATGAAAGAACACCATGAGATTTTAAAATCTGTATATTTGCCTGTTAACAACATGCATATATCTATCATCTGTCTATGTCAACCGGTCCCTGATATATGCTTCTAGGAGATGCTCATTAAAACAACCTGAAATTCAGGCGGGCACAAGAACCAATAGAGGATATGGTTAGAATGGGGGTCTGTGAACTAGGATTTTAACAACCACCTCAGGTGATTCTGACGAGGGAGTCCACACACCCATTTGGAAACCATAATGCATTTATGCTTATAACTGTAAGATGAACCAGCCTCGCTCCTAACAAGTAAATTCTAATCTCACTGGCTACTTTAAGCCATTGTCATGATCCGATCACACAGATAGAAGATATCCGAACCCATGCATTTAATCAACAAGTTAGTGCTATTTGGACATTTATTGCTTTGTAAATTAGAAGCAGCATCCAGACCATAAAGGAACCACAGACTGTTCAACATCTAAACATCTCTATTTAGCCTAAATGCAAAAACACCACTGACATGTGCAATCTCATGCAGAGGAAAGTGCTTTTAAATGTTCATTAATGAAGAAGCATTTTTAGCAGAATGTTAAATGCATCCTTTTAAAGGACCACGCTCAAGCCAAGGTTTAGCATTATATTAGAAAACTGACCCAAAACTAAAGTCTTCACGTTAATAACTCCAAAGTTATCAATTTCCAAGAATTACCATTTCTGGCCTGAAAACTACCATGTCCATTTCCAGCCTGAAAAGATTCTTTTGTTCGGTCTGAAATACCTGAAAATAGCAGGATACATAATGAGGAATTAGAAAAACAAAGAAGTACCTTGCTAACTCTTGAACGTTGAATTTCCAGCGAGTGTCAGGTTCTCGGAATATAACTTCATAGTTATTTTCAAGCGCCTGATTTTTCAAAAGTACATAAAACATTGAAGACATAGTATGTATGTTTGGGAATGTTTATGCTGCCATTTAACATTTACTACAAATCTTTCCTAGAATTTCTTTTGTTGTACCAATAATCCAATGCTTTAATTTATTATAATATATGCAGTTGGTTCAGTCCCATACTTAGCCATTCAGAATATAGTATGGTTCCCAGTGATAGATTTGGTCTGTGTAATCTCACGTGTAGGAAAATCGTAAAGGTTCTTTGTTTTGGCCGTCTTTAAAAATAGATGACTGTACTAGTTTTAAGTGCCCTGAACAGAGGTTTGAGCAGTGAGCTTAGCGACTTCTCAGTCACTTAAATGATTATTGTAGACTTACTTCTGTCCAATGTCTTGTCCTGTTCCTCATGCCTTGCTTTAGAAAATGACAGTGCCATTGGAACATAGCTTGTGAGATAAAAGTGACTTCCATGTACTTGACATAATCTTCCCTCCAAAAGCAGCTCTCCTGCTATTGTGATACAGCTTGGCTCAGTGCACTGTGCCCATTTCCTTGAGTTTGGAAAACTATGACAGTTTCTATATAAATATCCAAATATGCTTTGTGCTTATAAATCGACTGCTATCTTATCTCAAGCTAAACCTTCTGTTATCACTACAGTTTGTTGGGTTGTTGAACAAAGGACACAGGGAGCTAGGTAAAAAGATTCCCTCCTCATCCTTGAGATGGGTACGTCTAATCAGGGAAGGATTCAAAGAACATAAATAGAAAACATCTAGTTACTCGGTCTGATGAAAAGACTGTCCATATTCAGAAAAAAATAAAAAGTAACATGAATTCCCTGAAGCTCTTCCCAGTTAACTTGGTTTTCTGTTGTGCCTCAAGTCACCGGACTATTTTCTCGCCCAAGGCAGGCTCGACAGGGACTGAAGTAGCCCCTCAATTGACGCTCATTTCTTCTTACGTTCCCCAAAGTCCCACACCCTGGGTGGAAGGGGGCTGAGGAAAGCATTGTTACTGAAAATGCTGTTTTGCCTAAAATATAAAAAGAAGCCTCAACACGTGGCCCAGGGTGGGAGATTTTCACTTCACATTAAGCAAAGGGGAACCCTATGAGAGGTGGGTGAAGACTCTGCTGTCTGCCTCCTGCCCTGATCCCTGAGTGGTTCGGATGTTTCCTCCTTTTTATAACCCACAGGGAATGAAAACTTATCACAGGAGATGAAGTACGTCTGAAAAAAAGGCCAGATATACTTCACAGATGAAGAATAATGTACATATTGTTACATCCATGCTACTGTTACCTTCCATTAATTCTGATGGTGTAGGGCTGAGTTATTCTATATATGTACTTATAATTGTGTTCTACCATCTCAATAGGGTGACAGTGTTAATCCTAAATTTGTTTTTAAACTAAAAACTTCTGTTGCCCTGGGACGCCCGGCTGACAACGGTACACAGTGCTGGAATCCCAGGCTCGCCCTGTTATAACCTGTGACTCTGTTGGGGGTGTCATCTTGTCCAGTATTTGTCTGCACGTTTCCGTGGGTGCTCCTCTGTATACCTCCCCTTAGGAAAATCATTAAGACAGAAAAGCTGTCAAGCATTCAGACCAAGGACAGTTTATTTACCAAGGACTATTTAAAAATTGTACCCTGAGGTAAGATGAGCATCTCAGCAAATTTTAGCCATTGAACAACAGAGAAACGCCAAAATTAAAAAAAAAAAAAAAGCAAAACCTCTTTACCTGCTCCCTGGGAGAACTACTGTGAGTAAATACGAAGTCATGGAAGATCAGAAAAAGAGTAAAGAACAAATGCGTCAACTTTCTCACAAAATGTCCATAACTGAAAATTCAGAATGATACTTCTTCCTACCATGACTGCATAGGGCTTCATTTCCCAGGCGTGGAGGTTGGTATTATCAATAATAATGGGGGATATGCCATTCCTCATTGCTTTTCTTGCTGCAACACAACGTTATACGACAGTAAACAACATGCAACAGTCAGGGGGGAGGGCGCGTGTAACCCCTAGCGGCCATTTTCACTAGAGGATGTCCTGAATGCCACCTAGCTCAGAACCCATTATCAGTAATTCTCTTTTTCCTGGAAGCTAAGGAGGTTATGCTCTGGCATTCTGTTTTTGGGACGGAAAAAAAAAAATGACAGAACTTTCGGTTAAACTTCTTCCATAAAACTTATGCATTCTGCAGCAGCTACAATCTATGTGCACAGTGGGATTTCCCGGGAATTTGGAAAGGAATGTGTCACCTCTTTTTTGGTTCCATTCGTGAGCTTCCTCCAGGAAGTCAGGATTGAACTCATAGGCACCATCTTCCCTGAAGAAAAAATCATCCGTGCTGAAAATCAGGGCCCTGGGAAAGTCATGTTGCAATTGTCTGGAAAGTGAAGGGACGAAAGAGAGGCTGTTTTAAACAGTAGAAACAGTGTCTTTCCGTTGCTTAACATTTAGCAGTTTATAATGCTGAGACACCAGGTTTTGAGTTGTTGAAATCCAATTTTAAAAAAGAAATGCTTTTCATCTCTAGGAGGCATCACTCCTTAACAGGAGGCGGAAGAGGGTGACAGGCAGCGAAGGATGGTGTGTGTTACCAACCCTTGAAACTGAAAGGCGCAGGCACTGCTATGGACTCTTCAGCAACCAGGATGGACTCAAGGCGACATTCTGAGACTAAGTTGGGCCAACAGTTCTCCTGGACACCAGTCCCCGTGCCCATTCCTTCTGAGGCACCAGTGTCCTCCCTCGTGAGGCCCACCTGTGGGTGCCCCTCACTGCATCCTCTCCTGGGGCCCCTACACTCCTATCTGTCAGGGCCCCATTTCCTTGGAGCTCTGTTCTCTGTAAAGACCCATCTGAGAAACTAGTTCTTACTGAGGTGTGAAATGTGGATGGGGTTATGTGTGTGTGTGACCCTCTCAGGAGACATATTCACATTTTAACCGAGACTTAAGCCCAACAGGGAAAAAGCGCAAGAGAAGAAGGAGAGAGACAGAACCAGCTGTCCCCACACCTTCCTAAGGCTCTACCACTCTGTGTCTAAATATGAAAACATCAGAGAAAAAAGAACCACCATCGCGGAAAACTCCCTTGAAAGCAAAACCAAAACAAAACGAAAAAAATGTGTTAAGTCCTGTACAAAATGACTTCAAAGAGAAGATGCTTCCACTTGAAATCCTTGAACTACAGGAGGTGGACATTATGCTCAGAAGTGACCGGGGACGTGTTGGGGGTTCCCTCCTTCGCTTGTAAAGACTGAGGATAACATCACTTCTCTTGCTAGATGATAGCAACGTTCCTGTGACGGGGAACCCCAAGCACATCACCCAATATGCGTGGTCTGTGTCTCTCTCCTTTTCCCCTCCAGCACTCACCAGCTTCACTCTAACTTCAAAATGTATGCAACCAGCAAAGAAAACACACGGCCACACGGCCATGCTCACAATAAGAAGATACTTGGCCAGGTGCAGTGGCTCACGCCAATAATCCCAGCACTTTGAGAGGCCGAAGTTAGAGAATGGCCTGAGCTCACAGGTTTGAGACCAGCCTGGGCAACTTTGTAACACCTCATCTCTACAATAAACCAAACAAAAATTAGCTGGGTGTAGGTAGTGGTGTGCACCTGTGGTTCCAGCTACTTGGAAGGCTGAGGCGGAAGGATCGCCTGAGCCCAGCAGGTCGAGGGCTTCATGGCAGTGGCTGTGAGTGTGCCACTGCACTCCAGTCTGGGTGACAGAGTGAGACTCCGACTCAAAAAAAAGAAATTGGAGTGAAAAAAAGAGAACAAGGACGGGGAAATGCAAAGAGAAAGCAAAGCTATGCAGCTTCTTTTTTGTTGTTGGTCTCCTCTATCAAGAAGAATCATTGTTAATCCAGAAAGAACAGAATAAACATGGGCACAGGTAAATGAGCACCTATGTTGTTCTGATGAACTCGAGAGCTCCTGTTTTCCTAACTGTAAAGCCCAGAACATAAGCCCTGCCTGTGTAGCAGAGCTTCTAGGAAGACTCAACTGAGGTCAGGCACTTTACAAATATCAGGTACTGTCATTTTGTTAATAATATTAACAGTGAGGGCCGGGCTTGGTGGCTCAGCCCATAATCCCAGCGCTTTGGGAGGCCGAGGTGAGTGGATTGCCTAAGCCCGTGGGTTTGAGACCTACCTGGGCAACTTGGCGAGACCTCATCTCTACAATAAATCAAAAATGAGCCAGGCGTGGTAGCGCACGCCTGTAGTTCCAGCTACTTGGAAGGCTGAAGCGGAAGGATCACCGGAGCCCAGCAGGTAGAGGCTGCAGTGGCCAGTCTGGGTGACAGAGTGAGACTCCAACTCAAAAAAAAAAAAACAACCAAAAAACAATGAGGTCAAATTTGCCAACCCGAACTGTACACCTGCCATAACAATAGAACACATCAGAGTGTGCATGTAAAGGAATCTTGGAGGTACTGCGGTGAATAAGAGAGAGACAAAAGACAAAGCAGATGCTTCCACTTTCAAAAATGAGTAAAGTACATTCCCGAGCTGGTAAATAAATACGTCAACATTCTTCAGAAGACTTGACAGCATTTTAAAATGAAGGCAGCACAGATAGCTACAAAAGTAATCCCAAACAAAACACGATTTCTTTTTCGATGGGCTGTGGTGATCAACAGGGAAGTTCCACAGACATAAGATCATGATTTAAACAGGAAGCTGACAGTCTCCCCTGATAGCCCTTGTGGGAAGACGTGGGCCAGGGGACGACACATTTTAATACCCAAAGAATATTAGTTAATTATCCAACCCATTAAGCACTGATGGAGTACTTAACATGTGCCAAGTACTGGGTGAAGCGTTCAGGCACAAAAATCAAGTCGCTGCTTCCAAGGCATTCAAAGCCCAGCCAAGAAGCCAGCCCCACAGTCAATGCAACGCAGCGTGGACAAACGGCACCCACCGAGCACCAGGCCAGGAGCAGCAAGTTGAGCGGCGAGGGGACACACATGGACCTTGGGGGATAAGAAGACTGGTGCTTCCTGGAGGAAGCATTAGAAGCCTGACAGGAGGGGAAGGAGCCGATGCTTTGGGATTAGCGGGGGCTGTGGCAATGCCAGGGCTTGGCAGGAGAGAGGGACTTCAGGGAAGAAACAAAACAAAGACACTAAGGGTCAAAAGAGGCAAATCATCTTTGAAACACTTTTCGATTCCGAGCGCCACACGGTTTAAAGAGAAATCTGGCAAGCTGGAATATGTCCAGAGAAGAGTGACCAGGTAAACAGAAGGTCCAGAAACCCTGTCGGAGGAGCAAAGATCATCAGAGGAGTGTGGCACGTTTGAGGGAGAACAGGTGATCAAAGTGATGAGTGATCGTCATCCTGAAATGGCGGGAAGTCTGTTGTGTGGAAGAGGGAATGAGCTTACTTTGTGGGTCAGCAGTCTGGGCTGGGCTCAGGGGGTAGTTCTGCAGGTCTTGTGGGGGGTCACTCAGACAGCCATGACCTGATCCCATGGGGTGGGGGCAGGAGGGTCCAAGCAGGCCTCACACGCGTCTGGCGGTTTAGGCTCTCGCCACACGGCCTCCCATGCTCAGGAAACCCGACCCAGGCCCCTCCATGGAGCGCAGGACTTCTAGAGAGCAAAAGAGAGAGCTGCCCGGGTGGCTCCCACCACGTGGTGGACAGAGCAAGTGACCCACTGGAGGGCTGGGAAAAACCTGTCTGCTTCTTGATGGAAGGAGGAGCAAAGTGGAAGTGGCGACCTTAGGTCCACTCCAGACACAGGAAGACATGAAAGAGGGGAGAAGAACAGAGAGGAATGATGGGACAAACGCTCAGAGTTTCCAGTATGGATGTCTATTACTCGGCTTTCAAGATACACAAACTAGCCAGGCACGTGGCTCTCACGCACGCCTATAATCCCAGCACTTTGAGAGGCCGAGGCAAGAGGACTGCCTGAGCCCAAGAGTTTGAGACCAGCCCAGGCAACATGGTAAGGCTTTGTCTCTACAACAAGTCAAAAAATTAGCCGGGCATGGTGACGTGTGCCTGTAGGCTGAGATGGAAGGATGGCCTTGAACCCAGCTTGTTGAGGCTGCCGAAGCTGTGATCGTGTCCCTGCACTCCAGCCTGGGCAACAGGGTGAGACTCCAACTCAAAAATGATAATAATAAAATAAATAAAGAGAAACTGAGAAGCCCAGTCATAAGTCCCAACCTTGACCTCCAACGCAGACAATTTTTTTTTTTTGAGTTGGAGTCTCACTCTGTAACCCAGGCTGGAGGACAAAGGCACGCTCCCGACCACTGCAGCCTCGGCCTGCGGGGCTCAGGCAATCCTTCTGCCTTAGCCTTCCAAGTAGCTGGAACTATAGGCAGGTGCCACCATGCCCAGCTAATTTTTTGATTTAGTGTAGAGATGAGGTCTCTCCAAGTTGCCCAGACTGGTCTCCAACCTGTGGGCTCAGGCACTCCTCTCACCTTGGCCTCCCAAAGTGCTGGGATTATAGGCGTGAGCCACCGTGCCCGGCGCAGACAATTATTATAAAGACATCTTAGGAAAAAAAATCTAAGAGCAGCACCAGATGCATCTCCAGGTATGTATAGTTTATATTTGTGAGCACTGTGCAGCTTTAAAGTTGTTTCCCTCATCATTATTTAGTCTAAATAATGAAACGCATACTCAGAGATGAAAGAATAGTGTATAACATACATCCCTTATCTTATATTTACTGAGTCAAGCAACTACAGCAACTGATTCCAATATTTTTTTTTTTCTTTTTGGTCCCAGATTCAACGTCCTGTCTAAATCGGGTTCCATGAGTTTTCCTACTAAGTCTGCCACCTGTAAGTTTGGTTTTGTTTCTTCATCTCCACAGCTGAAGTTTTCTTTTCATATGCATATCCTGGTCTACCCTTGCTTTAGTCTCTGTGGTTTATGGCCCTGGTTGGAAATTAATACTCTAATGTTTCCTTTAAAAAGATTCGAGGGCACAAGTATCCATCCACATTTTGTCTGAATCCTATTTCTTTATAGAAAACAAAAACAAAGCATAAAACTACGCCTTCTTTGATTACATGTTGTCATCAAGACCACCTCCTCATTTCCTAAGGTGTATCTGACCAAGGGCTCCTTCGTTCTCACAAACACAGCAAAAATAAGAAGAGTGCTTTTCACCTTAAAGACTCTAATGGATTTTTTTTTCCTTTTTTTATTTTTGGTCTAGTGATCTTCCTGAATGACTATTCCTTCAGAAACTTGTCTCCACCTAAATGTCAAATTAGCACTGGCAGCCATGGTAGCATGTTGAATATGCAGGACAATAAAAACTCTAGTAGCTAAATGAACAACTGATTAAACAATCTTGAGATTTTCAAACTTAAGTGGAAACCATAAATATCATTCCATCATCT